AGGAGACACAGCGCCAAATAAAGGAATGTTTCACGTTGGAAAAAATATAATCCAATCTCCCTACAAATTAGACTATCTGCAGCAACAGAGCTTATTAAAATTAGCCAGTGTCCTGCCGTCCCAACCCTGTTTGCCTCAAGCTGACTGCTCTAAAGATATTTTACCTTTTATTTCAAGGCTTGCCTTCCAGATACTTCCCACCACTTTTCTTTCCCCCGATGGGCTGTGGGGTGAAAATGCTCCAGGTGAAGGGCAGAGAGCGGTCCACACACCACCCCCCGGGAGGGGCGGGCAGAGCAGCCCCTGGCCCTGCGTGGGGCAGCCCCACCAAAGGCTCCTGTGGGGCGGGTGGTCTGGAGAGTGAGTGCAATAGGAACATCTTATCATTGCTGTTAAAGAAAGGGGTGCTTCTCCCTTGTGATGTTTTTGGGAATAATTTTCTCCCTGTTGATGTCGTCTCATTCTAAAGTACTTTTTTTCTTTTTCTTTTCAGTTTATCTTCAATCTAGAGAACATGTCCTATCAGCAGCAGCAACAATGCAAAGTCCCCTGTGAGCCCCCTCCCCAAGTCCCACAGCCCTGTCCTCCGAAGGTGCCTGAGCCTTGCCCCCCACCCCCCAGCCAGCAGAAGTGTCCCCCTGTGCAGCATCCCCCATGCCAGCAACAATGCCCACCAAAGCAGAAGTGACACCTCTGAAGCCACCCTCTGCAGCCTGGACGTGAAAATACTGCACCCTGCCCACCTCCACCCCCTTTCTTCCAGCAACAATGGGGAACACCACACAACCTGGAAGATGCCACTGAAGGAGAAAGATATTGTCATAGTCCACTGGGTTTTCCTCCCCAAATCAATGACCCCTCCCAGCTCCTCACCTAGGAGACAGCATGATTTGCTCACAAGTGCCGTGTTCTCAAACCTTCCAGCTGTGGTCCAAATAGGCCCGTGTGTCCAGCAGCTTTCTCCTCTACCACACTGCCTCCTGCTGGTTATATGAGATCCCTACAAGAATACAGGACCTGATCAGCTGTCTCCATGGAATTCAACAACTTTATTAAGGTTTCCAGGAACAAACACGGTTAAAAAATTAATGCAAGAAAACTGTTTAAATCCATGGAAAATTTGCCAAAATTCTTCACAGCACAACTCCACAGTCTTTGGTGAAGGCAATGAGGTTTTCTGCTTGTATTTCGTCCCCAGTAATCTCCACAAACCCTAACAAAGCTCACCCCTTCCTGTGGATTCTGAACCTATTCCAAGACCAGTGTCATCTCTTTCTCTCTGTTTCCCAATAAAAAATATCCCTGACTGGCCATGTTTCTGCTCTCTTTACGGGGATGGAAAAAAGTCACAGAGTGACAAAAGGGCTGTGGAGGGAAGCAGAGACTGGGCGGGAAATACTCGGACAGACCCTAGAAGCAATTAGGAGACACACAAGACTGACAAGGGCACCCTGCTTGAGCCAGAGAGTCTCCTTTGCCTCTCTAGTTGCCCATTCTGATCCCTCAGATTCCAGTGCCTCCCAGGCCCACCTCTACACGAAGCACCTATCAGAGAAGTCTGATAAGGACTCAGCACGCAGGGGAGGTGGGGAATGTGGGCACTGGAGCCATCAGCGTCAGGGCTACAGGCTGGGCTGAGCATGTGACAGGCTCTGCAAGGCCTGTGGAGGTGAGAGGGACTCAGCATCTGCGACCAGAACAACGAGGCCAGCTCTTCATAGAGCCTGGCCTGTCAGGGATGGACCCTAGAAAGAGTTGTTACTGCAGCAGTTCTCGAATTATCTGGTCATGGGAATGACTTACACTCTTAGGACTACTGAGGACCCTACAGAGATTTTGTTCATGTGGGTTATATTTATTGATATTTCTTATATTAAAAATTAAAACTAGAAAAGTTAAATTAAAACTAGAAAAGTTTGTACACTAGCAGATATTGCACGAGTTGTCAGAGTGATGATGTCATTGCATGTCATAAAACCTCTGCAAAATTCCACTATAGACTCATGAAAGAATGTGAGTGAAAAGTAAATAACATCTCAACATAATCATTAAAACAGTCTTGACCTCACTGACCCTCCTGAATGCATCTCAGGGACCACCAAGGTCCCCACATTGCACTTTGAGAACCAGTGGTCTGGAGAGTCACTGTGGGCCGGGTCTCCAGGGTCTCAGGGCGTAAGACAACGTAGTAGCACAGGTTTCAAAGGGCTCAGGTAGTTCTCCTGGGCTTTCAGTCCCAGCTTACTGTAGGTATTATTTGTGCCTGTCATTTAACCAACCTGCCAAATTGAGTTCTGCACTTTCATTTGGCAATCGTTGGTCAGCACCAATTTAGCACTGCTAAATTGAACTCATTCATTCAATAACCACTGACACCACCACCTAGAAAGTGTCTAGTTTGATAAAAACCTGGAAATAAAGAGAATAGGACAATGCAGCTCTTAGAGAAGCCTTCTCAGGGGTCTGCTGGGGTGGTGATGACATGTAGGTGCCACATGGACAATTAGATTGACGTGAACAGGCTTCCATCGGTACAGCGAGCACGCTGCAGGGTGTATTGAACATGCAAGGTGAGGAAGAAGGAAGAACAGAGGATGACCCCTGGGTTTCTCATCTAGGTTTCTTCCCTGGGCTCTTAAGTGCAACCAGCAGGAGCCTCCTAGGGAGCTAATCATATTCAGTGATTGTGGAAGTTTGAACCTGATCATATTCCGTGTATTCCCCAATTCTCCCTCTCACCCCACCCCCAGCCGCACAGGAGCCTCTCTGTTATTTCCATGGAGGTAAAAGCAGACCATAGTCAATCAAAAAATATATCTGAAGGATAAGAAATTTTAATAACAATAAGAGTGAAGGTAGAAGAGAGAGGATAAGGACTGATTTGATCTACGGTAGGGCTGGGAAGGTCCCCCAAACTCCACTCACTTCCCTCTTTCCCAGTCGAGATTATAAATTCCTGGGTCCATTTGCTGTGCACAGAAGCGTCCCTGCTGGTTGCTTTCAGATTCTAAAACAAAGAGAGACTAGAGGTAGCTTCCGGTTCTTGTTCTAAATCTTGTTATTAAACTCTTCTCCTGGGCCTAAATCTTTCTTAGGCTCTTTGCGTTGTAGGTGAATATAATGTATTTTTATCTATAATTTCCAAAGCTTAGACTTTTTCAAAAAAAATAAAAATTAGCAGGGAGAACTTCTTAAATAACATTAAGCTAACACTGATGTCTGGGCAGGTAAGAGCCTCCACCCTCCTGCTGTCCTGCCCAAGCCACTGAGGAGTTGCTAGCACCACCAGCTGGGCACTGGTGGTATCGAAAGATCAGAGATGCCCAGGCTGCGCCAGATGAAGGCCTTTGTGAGGCACCCGCTAGGACAAGGTTTCCATCCCTTTATTTTGTGAGACTGTGTGCGCTTTCTCCTGCAGACCAGTCCAGGAACTCTTGCTGGCGAAGGGAGGAAAAGGATGCCGTTCCCTCCATGCAGATGGCTGGCAGTTTATCCAGCTGCAGAACGGGAGACTGGACAAACTGACACAGGAGGGTCAGTGCATAGGAGGCCCTAGAAAAAGGCAGAATCCCCTCACATCATCCCTGGAGGTGGCAGCCCCCCCAACCCACCCAGGAAGCTTTTTGTGACCTGCTCAACACCCCGCCACCACCCAACTGGGCTTCCATAGCATGTTGATCCAACTCCTGTCATATCTCCCTGTACTCTAACTCTGTGCCTAAACATCAGTGGCCCCACTCTACTCCCGTCCAGACTGAGGAGCGTTCCTCCAGCAAGCTCTGCTTCTTCACAGTCTTACGCTGCCCTCACACACACGCATGTGCACACGTGCTCACGTGCACACACGCGCTCACGTGCACACACACACAGGTCTGGCTTCTGGGTGATGCCCAATGACTTTGAACGAGAAGAACTTCATTGGATCCTAAAGATCAGAACTAGAGGTGGTATGTGTTAATATTGATAGTAATTTCATCTCGAGTACCTGAAAGAGATGGTGGGATTGTGATGGGGCGTATGAAAGATGCTAGAAACCCAGCCCAGGAGTCCCTGTAGACGGACTGTTTCCTGAGGAGGAGGAGCCCAGCAAGTCCTGTCTGATGGTCTCTGCTCAGACACCAAGATGTCCCAACTTCCTGAGGTACAGCTGAGTAAAGTGTACCCACCCCATCCCCCTTTCTGCCACTCTCACCTCTCCACCCAGAGGAAGTGGCTCCAAGCAGCTGCCAAACCAGAGCCCCACCGGGGGCTTAGAGCAATAGTAGCTCTGTATGGACGCCAGAGCCCCTGACGCTCCGCCCGGGAGCTATGCCCCAGCCCAGGAGATGACAGTGGCAGATGAGGAAACCAAAGACCCAGATCATAGACATGGTTCATTACACCTGGGCTAGAACTTGACTTTCTTGGATCCCTGTGCTTTGCTTCTTCTTCCCCATCATCATGAGTTTGTGCTCAGGGTAACAAATGCCTGGGCGTTTTCCTGGCTGCTATTTTTGATGTTCAATTTTGACTCATTAGTCGGCCAACTCATATTGGCATGTTTTAACCTCCCTGAAGAAACAGAGAGCAGAGATGAAGAAAAGGCCAATGAGTCTAGGAGAAAAGACAAAATATCTTCATAACTAGAACAGATCACAGAGGAAAGTTTGCAGAACACTCCAAAAGTCATCTAGTCCTACCTCCCACCAAATCAAATATTCTCCACCAAAAGGCCTTTAACCATTGTGGTACGGCGCTCACCGGCCACGAAACCTTGCCCACAGCCGGCACTCATAGTCCGCACGATAGTTTGTGCCGTGAATTGGCGACGAATCCATTTTGCTCTTATGTGATGAGGAAAGATTTGAAGCACTGAAAGCTTGTTTTACTTTACAGGCAGCTTTACTTGTGATGTAAATCAGAATAGGTAACATATACGTATATGTTTTTATTACATTATTTTTAAATGTTCACAATTTTATTTTGATAAATGAAAAATCAGAAAAGTCATATCACGGCTGTCGGCTAAAGTCGCTGTGCGCATTCATCTGTGGCTATCGACTATAGTAGATGCTCAGCTGTGCGGGTTCATCTGTGACTGTCAGCTATAGTCGATACTGGTACCGAAGTGGTTAAAAATTAGTTTACGCTTGATTGAACATTCACTGGTCCAGAGAATTCATAAACTTGGAAAGTGTTGCTAAAGTGGGGTGAAAATAGGATCTTAGGGACTTCTTCCTTAACTCTGACCACTTTCTCATCCTCTTCTGCCACCCGTCCTCTTCTCACTCTCTGGGACATTTGAGAGCACCCCTTTGCGAGGGACAGCCATAAACCATGTGCAGTCTCATGCTCCCCCCTCCAAACTTTCGCTTCCTCAGACTAAAAATCCTCCACTTTTTTTCCATTTCTTAACATGTGCTGTTTCTAAGTGCTTCCGACTTTTTGCTTTTTCTCTGAGTCATTGCAGTGTGAGCACGATCATCTTAGACAGCAGAATCCACATCGAGCCCCACCCCTCTGAGGCTGGGGTAGATATGGGCAGAGCTGGGGCACCTCAGCACAGCCCCACGGAGAATCCCCCTGGTTGAGAGCCAGGCTCCACAGAGGCTCTGGTGGCAGGAGGTCCTCCCAGCAAGTGAGAGGGATGGGACGTCCTAGTCCCTGAGGATAGGGAAGTGGAGGGAGGAGAGCGCACTTCTCCCGGGTGAATACTTGGGAGGAAGTTCCTCCACCGCTGCGATGTGAAGGTTTATCTCCTGTTTCTAGCAGCAGCTGAAACAGTGCCAAACGCCCTGCCAGCCCCTCCCTGCACCGTACCCCACAGCCGGCAGAACTGCACCTCCCACCCCGGGCTAACAGAATACCACCAAAGCAGAAGTGGCTTTTCAGAACCGCTCCCCCCAATATCTGGACATTAAATTGCTCCCTGCGCCCTCTCAAATCTTTCTTCCAGAACCAACAGAGAGCACCACATAGCCCAGAAATTGCCTTTCATCTACTCAAAGAGAAAGGTGTCTACACAGGCCACCACCCTGACGCAGTTCATCGACAATCTCCTCCCAGCTCCTCCTCCAGGAAACAGCAAGGACGGGACCAGAGGGCTGTTTCAGACATCTCTCCCGAACACCAGGCCTGCTCTCCGATCTCGTCTAGAGCCTGCTGTGGTCAGGACCCCAACCGCCCCACTCGGTTCATCTATTAATAACTGTGGCCTCCACCACCACTGCTGCCCTCTGCTGGCTCCAAGCACAGTGTCCTTCCTTAGCTCTCTGGACCCTTAGGTTCCACCATTTGGGGCTTCTTGAACAGCAAGGATGATTGAAAATTTAAGAAAGAGAAACTACTTTAAACAATGGAAAAGTCTTCAGAGTTTCTCACTTTTCAATCCCTCAGCTTCAATCAAGACGATAACAGTATTTCTTATTTCTCACCTCCCTGCCTCTCGCTCTGCTTCTGAGCCTGTTCTGAACACTGGGAGGATGTTCCTTCCTCTCCGCTCCCTCCAATAAAAAATCTGGAAATATTCCTGAATCTGCTGTCTTGCTGGGCCCGGGGAAGAAGGAGAATGTTCCCTACCAGGAAGGAGCAACGTGGCAGGCAAGCAGGTCCCTACAGGAGAGCCCTTAAAAACCCTGAGGACAGTCTAGGACACTGAAGAGTGAGGTAGGGGAGCAATAAGTTAGGAACACCCCATTGGCCCACTCAGACTCCCCTCATTGTCCCACAGGAGGACCAGATGTCTCCCAAGCACCCCTTCCCTGAGGAGGGACTCTGGAGCAGGGGTGTGGCAGGACGTGCTGACAGTGGGGCCACCTGCACCTGGCTACGGAGGTGCAGGAGAGGCACTCTGCAGGACTCAGTGGGTGGCATTGCAGCTGTGAGCCAGGGCCCTGCTGGGTCAACTGGCCCTCCCTGGGTCCCATCCCAGAGGGATTTGTCCAAGCCCAAGAAAGACATAAATCCAGGAGGACCAATGCTGTGATGAAGATTGCAGAGAATTTTCACTCATTAATGTGACCCCATTGGTTTTATATATTAACATGACTCTCTCCTCTGCTTTGATTGATTCACATTTGTATCTTTTGGGTATTTAATTTTTTTATCTCTCGCATGCACTGTTGAATTGTGTCTTAACTTGTGTCTTGTCCAATTAAATGACAACAATTTATTGACGCTCTGCTATGTATCAGGCCTTGAGCTGGTTGCAGGGGGTAGAGAGAAAATAGACCAGGACCACTCAGAGTAGTCACTAGCCTTCCAGATGGCGGGGAGCAGGCCTGTGCACTGGCCATGACAGGACAATCAGTCAAGACCACAAAATGGGGGTGCTGAGCATGCTCGGGGCTGGTGGGGAGGGAGTGCAGGCTTGGTGGAGGGGCCAGGACTAGAGAGATGCCAAGGGGAGTCTGCAGGGTGACTGAAGGCTGTAGGTCAGGGAAGGAAGGGAAGGGAATTCCACGTACAGGGAACAACCCAAGAAAACCTCCTCAATTAGTATTTCTTACATTCAATCAGGGTTTTATTCTGTTCCTTTCCCCAACAAGTGTCTATAGCATGCCACTCTTTTTGCTTGACTCTATCTGCTCCTAGAACAGAACACAACACATCACTGTTGCGTGAGGCAGGAAGACAGAGGGGAAGTCAGCAGTTTAAATGCTCTAATACAGCAGCCAGATCGCTACCCCAGCCAACTCAGAGTCAAGTGAGAGTGGAACTTTGACCTGCACTCACCCAGGAATCAAGCCAGTGGTACCAGAACCAATCCGCAGTATTCCACCAGTTCTTGAGTGCCCAGTCAGAACAGAGAGCCCCAGTGACTGGAAGAATCTGTAAACAGGCTTCCTCACCTTGAGTAAGGGCTACTAAGGAAGAAGGGGTCGTAGGAATCCCCTAAAGCTCCACCTCCTCACCAAAATTATAAACCAAAAGCAATTCATGCCTGGAGGGACTGCAGAGGTTGGCCAGCCTTCAAACACTTGAAAGGCATGATGGATACGATCCCTATTATGTCTCCCTTGAATTCTCACATTTGTCCAGGCCAGATATGCAGATCTTGGAGACTGACACTGAATCATCTTGAAGCCACTGTTCCATTTGTGGTCTCTTACACATTGACACAGCCCCTGGATCCTGGGAGAGCAGACTGGAGAGTAGCCTGGGCTGGTGCAGGTAGATGAGAAAAGAGGTTGACTTTAGCCTTAACTCGGAACTGGGAGCACAGACATCAAAATAGGAAGGGCTCACAGTGTCGGCCACAGCCCCGAGTCCAGCCTCCCCTGTTCCCTGAAAGCCCCCGCTGCTGCTCAGCTCAGCAGCCTCCCTGACGCTGGCACCCCCAGGCCCACACTCCCCGTCTTCCTGCCGGGCACCTCTCCTGAAGAAAGGAGCAGAATCACTGGGGCTCCAAGTGGACTGGGGGCAGGTTGTAGGTGCAATGTGAAGCCCAGAGTGAGAGTACACATGGGAAACTCCCAATGTCCCAGTTTCTGGAAACCCGTGTACTCCTTCCTGTGGCCTCCTGATCGCCCTCTGGTGGCTGCTCCAAGCACCCCCTGCTGCCCTGCCAGGGCCCCTTTCCCTGTCTGTGACGCTTCCCGATTGCCTCCCAGCACCAGCCAGAGAGCAGTCGGACCCACTCAGGAGGGGCTGGACTTATTGAAGGAGTAGGAAGGAGGAGGTAACAGCATCACAAGGTTGGGGGTGTCCCAGAGATACATAGGCGTGGTCCGGAGGGTGATATGAAACAGGAGATCTTGCTGCCATAACTGAAAATGGTGGGAAGGAAGGGAACTTGGGGGAATTTTCCACTTATTTAAGTTGGTTACTTTAATGTACATTAGCTTCTCAAAAACCTCAAAATAAATTGGAGAAAGGAAGGAGCCAGAGCCGAAGGAGGACACTTTCATCATTCTAGCGACCTCAGAAGCAGCAGGGGAAGGGATGCATCAGCCAGAAGAACTGGCCTGTGGTGGTCACAGTGGGTTTGATTCACGTGGCTCCAGGGAAGGCCCTGATTACACGGCACTTCAGTCCATTCTCTGCTGCCTGCTAGAGGTTGAAGCTGAGAAGGATCTGTTGATTAATTGCAAGAAAACCTATGAGCCCAGGTGTCATCCTTCCTGAGTCAGTTGAGAGGGAGACTTTCCTGGGGCTGTGAGGGGTTCCCTGTAGTTGCTGGAAGGAGGGAGTCTGGGTGGGCAGAGAGAGGACTCACAGCTTCACACTCAGGTTTAGGGCCAGGTGGCTTCAGAAGTATCACTTCTGCTTTGGAAGGCATTCCTGCTGAACAGGGGGCACTTCTGCTGGCTGGAGGGTGCAGGGCTCAGGCACCTGGGGAAGGCAAGATTCTGTGACCTGTGGAGGGGTTGGCAGGGGACGTTGCATTGTTGCTGCTGCTGCTGCAGCAACATCTTCCTGGATCGACGAATGCCTGCGAGAAAGAGGAGACACGTGCTTTTAGCTGAAAGAGCAGAGTATGCCAGATTCTCCCAGGGATGAGCTCTGTCTCCAGCTACTCCAGTCTTAATTCGCAGGGTCTCCAGCTTTCCCGTCTGCTCACTGCCATAATGATCAGACCCAGAGTGTGATCGTGGGTCCCAACAATGTGCGGCTGCCCACACATAAACCTCACTCAGAGAACCAGATCCCGGCTCAGGCTCTGCCCTCTGAGAAGAGCATGCTCACAGTGGGTCAAGTCAGGGGAAGGGCAACAGGAATGGCCTGGAACCAGAGTACTGTGCCATGAAGGAAGGTGTAAAGAGGCTGAGGATGTTCCTCCTGGGAAAGGAAAGTGTGGGAGGAAATGATGCAGTCTGCATTCACCTCCAGGGCCGTCTTCATGGGGAATGAGCCCAACCTGTGGGTCTGCACAGGCACTAAGCACTGCGGGGCTGGGGGAGTCGGGAAAGAGGCCCCAGCTGGAGCTCCTGTTCAGGGGGTGCTGTCCCAGGTCCTATAAAGTTTCCGTCAGGCACTGATTGACGTCCTTAAGGTCTGTTAATAGAGATTCTAATTCAGTGGGATTTCTAATGTGCCTTGCACTCTTTCCTGTCTTTGGATCTGTAGGCCCGTGGTCAGCTGAGGCATTCCTCTTGCCACTTGATGCTTTCCTCTGCCCAGTCCATGTGTCCCCTCCACACTCTCCAGACCAACCACAGCGACTCCCAGCAGGGGGCGCCTCTGCACCCATGGTACCTTGCCAAAGAAAGAGGCAGAAATAAGGACCAAAGGCAATCATCCAGGGACAATCACAGCCACTATTTGTTCAAGAGCCAATGACACAGCTCAGCCCTTCAGCTCAGTCACATGTCTGATGTCACAGCATCCTCGAGGCAGGGGCAAGAAGCTCTACCAAAAGAAATAATCACAGCAATAAAAAAAAAAAAATAAGAGGGATGGAAAGGGAGCTAGGAAAGAGACATTTCAGGGCCAGTTTTAACAGTTTAACACAAACCAATTCTGGGACCTGGCTTGGCTTGGCTTTCCTTGTCTATAATTTGCATCAGATCAAAAAAACAAGATCTCAAATTCCACCTACCAACTCGGGTTGCTCACCTACCTCCCATTGACCAACTTTCTTTCTGTAACTATTTTCTTGTTGTTTCTCTGGATTTGTTCATCTCTGTTCTGTCTATCTGTTTCTCCCCTCCCCCCACTTTTATAAATTCTAGTTTCCAGCAAAAGGAAGCCAACCTCTGGGCCACTGTCTGTCCTCACCCCAGAAGGGCAGAGCCATCTCCCTCGCCCGCCTCCCGCTGCTCCAGCCCTCAGGGATCCAAGTGCACAAGAAGGGCCACACCAGGGCCCTTTTATCCTAGGTGCGGCCTGGAAGAAGGAAACAGAGAGGATTTCCAACAGTTTACTTGTTTTCAGATATCTCACCCTCTTCCTGAAAACAGTTTTCAAACCCCTACTTTGCACTAAAAATTCCAGTTTGACAGCTTCTTGATGATTAACTGCATTTTCAAGCACTCTGGAAGGATTTCCTCTAGGATGTGAGAGTATTAGATTCTTGTAACCTTCCCCAGTTATCCCTGAAACCATCTTCCATTGGGTGGGCTGGCCATGGGAGAAACAAGGAAAAGATCCTGGAATCCTAGTCCCCAGGGGTCAACCCATCTTTTAAGGTCTTAGGACTGGGTTTCAGCACCATTTTAATCATCACCCACACCCGAATCTTTCTCTCTCTCTCTCTCTCTCTCTCTCTCTCTCTCTCTCTCTCTCTCTCTCTTTCTCTCTCTCTTTCTCATGCTCAACAATCAGGAACCCTCCCAGACCCCATGGGTGGCTCACTGTCTCCCTCCCCATCTCTCCCGGCTGTTGCAAGCCTCAGAGATTTTAAGTCTCAGAAAGAGAGGACCAATGGTCATTTTTACCATCGTTGGTCTAACCAGGAGTAAGTCAACTGTCAGTCCATAAACATCTCCACTATGTGCCAGTCACTATTCTAGGCACTGGACCAGAGGACCCAGTCCCATTCCTGTCCTCAAGGCACTTATATTCCAATGTGGAAGGCAGAACATAAACACATAATTTATAAATAATAAGAAACATGGTTTTAAGAGGCCTCCCATTATTTCCTAGTTGTCGAATATTACTTCCCGGCACCTGAAAAACACTTGACAAAATCAAGCTATGCACCAAAATATCAAGTTTGGCCATTCTCCTATGGTAATGGTATTTGCATTTCCCTTGAATGGTCCTTCTGCAGGTAAAAAGAACTTTTCAGGGGCCCTCGGGAGAGTTGAACAGATGTGAAGAGGCAAGAAGAATGAGGTGTCCTGGAAGTCTGGGCCCCCTACTCTCTTTTCTAAGTGTTTTAAGCAAAAGGAAAGAGGTTACAGACAGCCCCAAACCACTTCATTTATGGCTCTGATGCTTAACATAAAACAGCAGTCTCCAACCTTTCTGGCACCAGGGACCGGTTTCATGGGAGACAATTTTTCCACGGACCAGCAGTGGGGACGGTTTCAGGATGATTCAAGTGCATTACATTTATTGTGCAGTCACACCTCTCTGCTAATGATAATCTTTGTTTGCAGCCGCTCCCCAGCGCTAGAATCACCGCCTCAGCTCCACCTCAGATCATCAGGCATTAGATTCTCATAAGGAGCATGCAACCCTCGCATGCCCTGTTCACAGTAGGGTTAGCGCTCCTATGAGAATCTAATGCCGCCGCTGATCTGACAGGAGGCAGAGCTTATGCTGTGCGGTGATGCGAGTGATGGGGAGCAGCTGTAAATACAGGTGAAGCTTCACTCTCTCGCCTGCTGCTCACCTGCTGTGCAGCCTCAGTTCCTAACAGGCCATCGACCAGTACTGGTCCGTGGCCCAAGGGTTGGGGACCGCAGGCATAAGGTATTCATTCAGGTCACAAAAGTAAGGATAGGGGAGTGCAGAAAACACAGCCACTGCCCTAGATAGAACCCACAGTGCAATAGGAAGGGCACATATATAAATGCACAATGAGATGAGACATACAAAAATAGGAAAATTATTTTCAGGGTGCAACAGAAGCACAGAGAAAGTGAACAAATCCCAGTTGGGGGAAGGGGACTATTCTTGGAACATATTTGCCCTAACAGGATTAGACAGTGGTGATAGTGGCCCTGAAACTGGACACTAACACCTACTATGCCATCCTCAGTGTGACAAGCCCCTGCAGAGCTGGCCCCGGCTCCAGAGCCAACCACTGCATTTCCCCAGAGCTCCACATGCCTCTCACCTCCTCCCCTGTCATCCTTGGGATCACTTGCCCCTTTCACGTCTCTTCCTGCAAGTTTCCCTGGGCAGATCCAAGGAGCTGGAGTGACTCCTCTCATGGCTGCGTGACCATGCAGTAAAATGCAAAGCCAACCCTTTCCTTTTGCCCTGCAAGGCCTGGCAAATGCTCCCTTGAGTGCCATGGACAGTGTCCTCTCTTGTGCTCCCTTCCTTTGAACAGTGCAGGGGTCGCCGAGCCCTGGGCACCACCAGCCCACAGCTGCTGGCTCAGCACACCTCACCATGCTGTGAAGACCTCACAGGTATGCGGGGGAGGGGAGGACGGGAGGCCCTGGCCTGCTCTGAGCAAAGTCTTAAGTCAAAAGTAAATCAGAAACTCTGGACTCCCAATCTTCCCAAAGAGCTCTTATCATTGAAAATTAGAAAGAAAATCTATTGTTCTGTAATAGAAGGCCAGAATCTGGGGTTAACACTAAGTGCCAGCAAGAGCAGGAAGGAGGGGGAAGTAGCAGCTTGTTTCTGTATTTCTCTATGCCAGGCATCCTCAAACTACGGCCCGAGGGCCACATGCCACCCACCTAGGACATTTATCAGGCCCGCCGGGTATTTTTGCAGCAGCTGCCTGTCCTGCCTAGCAGCCGACTCATCCCGGGCCCACAGTGCGCACTCTCCAATGGTCTGAGGGACAGTGAACTGGCCCCTGTTTAAAAAGTTTGAGGACCCCTGCTCTATGCTGTCAGACCACGAAACCAAAAATCAGAGCTGCCCCTGGAACCCCAAATACTAGTGCTTGGGCAGTGTCTTTAAGGAAAGG